GATAGGGAATGCCAACAGATGAATTAAATGGTGTGACGCGGAATAGACAATGTGTGTAGAGGCCAGCAGAGGCGAGGGCCGCTGTTACTCATCATTAGGTCAGTCACCCCTACTCTGACTCACACGAGGCTCCGTGCTCCTCTACACTGATTAATGAGTCATTATAACTTGCGCATCACCATCCATCTCTTCTTGACTTCTCATGACAATTGTTCCGGTGTCAAGCGTGTCACATACGCAGTATGAATTACCTCACCCGACAGGTTTTGATTGCATTGTAATCTTAATCTTACATTTTTTCTGAAAAGGTTAAAATGCATAATGATCATTTTTCTAATCGTATTCACACTGGAAAAAATCAAAGCACTTCTGAATTTAATTAAATCACCAATTTTAATGCAAACAACCATATCTAGTGTACTGTACACTTGCTCACGTGTTACTGTGCAGCGTACTCAACCTCCTTGCTAGACAACGCCATGACGTGCTTATCTAAGTATTGTCCTAAGAGTGAATATTGGTAATTTAGGTCTTACTTTCGATGACCCGCCTACTAGGCGTATTGTACTTCTTGCCTTATAATCAACTTTCCGAGCGTTCGAATTCTTTGTCGAACACTGCATTACACTTGTGGCTGAAGGTGGTTTCCGCGACTTCTTACAGTGCAATTTGCAGTTGTTGACGTGCAGCTGTTGTATTTTTCACTGTTGTCTTTGGCTTCTAGAATGGTTATCTATCAGCGCTACAACATATAGGCTTCATTGATCAATAATGCGATGCGTATTGTATACAGTTGATGAAGCCTAAACTTTCTGTAAATTCGGATTAACACATTTATCTCTCCATTATTTTAATCCGAAAGTACGTAGGTTATATTATACGGACATATTACAGTGTCTTTAGTGTTCACACTGTTGGTCATTAGGAACAACGTTAATTCTACCTATACAAATCAAAGTGAAAATTCGAGCGCAAAAGTCTTTGCGCTTTGCGCTGAGAGAGACAATTTTTTCGCATTATCACGTAACTCTAATGCATAATTAAAGAACAAATGGATAATCTGCATTAAACTCAGATTCGTCAGCAATAGCACCCGTAACTGTATACTTTAAGTACTCGTATACTGTAAGTGAAGCAACATGACCAACTTACCATGAAGACGGAAACCTCTCCAGAAAAAAAAGTTTTTTTTTTCAAGTTAATAATATTCGGTATAAAAATTATTTGAAAAGAAATCTCGAATCTATTGCTTCTCCCAACAGCACTTTTGAGTCCATCTTCCATCACCTTAAATACACATAATAAACCAGTGTGGAAGTCGAGATTTTAAAGTCATGTTAACTCTTGTTTTTTTAATCTTTCTTTGTTTGATGTGCCTCTCTGCCGCGGTGCCCGGGTCCCGGTGTTGAAGGTCTGAGTGGCCAGGAATCGTTGCCAAGGATCTGAGCGCCCATGACCCGGTGCTAAGGATCTGAGTGCCCAGAAACCGGTGCTAAGGGTCTGAATGGCCAACACCCTGCTGCTCAATACACAGTGCTCATGCATATTTAAAGAAGCACTCAGCTGGAAGCACCAGTAAATAAATATTTACATTGAAGAGCAGCGGCGCGTCGCAAGTTAGCCGTGTAAAGCATTGTAACCAAGAAAATATTATTAACGAATTCGAAAGTCTGCTGGCCTGATGATGGACAAATTGGCCGACTTAAAGGTCACCTCCACCAGAAAGTTGGTACTGAATTGTATCCAGTCGTTTTCAATTCAACATGACATGCACAGCGAGTCCTTTCATATGTAGACTGACCTCTTATTTGTTGGGGAAGTATTTCAAAAGGTACTTTACATTATCAATATGGTAAGGATATTGCTGTGATCGATTTGGTAAAATTTTTAATTAAAAAGTATATAAAGATATGCGTTGTTTCATGCGGCATATTATAGGCCTACAATCACGCCGCAGCGCAATAAGCCAGGCGACAGGACTCTGAAGCCAACATATTTGTAACTAAATAAATAAATAAAGAACTCTGAAAATCAGAATGTTGCTGAACTTTTGAAGTTTCAATGAAACAAGAATGGAGGGTTGCTGTGTTCCTCTAAAGTCCTTGTCATCCCACCTGACTCCGCTTAATAATACTCTCTACCTAAATGCTTTAGAAAAAATTCTGCTTTCACAAAGGTTATATAATATCAGGAACATCACATATGATTAATGCCGAAAGAAATTAATTTTTCAAAAGATCAAAGTAATACCCTGTAAATTAAAATTCAATACGCGCCAGTATTTTCCCATTTGGAGTTTATTTTAAATATTCATTCAGTAGATTTAATAATTCAATATTTATTTCGGTATGTCCTGAAATATCTCTGCAATCCGTGTATGGGAGTTCAGCAGACCAGAAATAAAAAGAGCATTAATATTTTTACAATATTTCCTCTAAGGCTGACTTTGGTGGTTTGTGATTTGATAGTTACTATGATTCCAATTCATATATATTTTTAAGTAATTGTTTATTTAGTTTATAACCAAAGGGGGGTTTCCCTTGGCTTGAATACTGCCTAAAATGATAGTACTGTTATTTGGTCGAATGTATAAAAATGAAGTATTGTAGCTAACAATGTTCACATTTTGTACTATTCATTTTGTAGAAAGCACGATGAAACACAAAATCCAAGCTTAGATGAACAAATCCACAAGGGCAGTGACGAGGATTCGAACCTACGTCCGAGAGCATCCCAGACATTTATTAATAAGACAAAGACATCCAAGCTTAGACATTCCTAGGCCTTGGACAGGTTAGGTTCTTTAGTTACTGTTCCATCATCTTAGAAAGTTATTTGTGCTAATTCAGTAAAACAAAACGTGAACTTTTGGAGGTTCAACAGTTTTTTTTGGTACGTTTGATTAAACAGCTGTTATATGTACTATCATTATTAGAGGCCGGTAATTTTTAGCAGGGTCTCGTAGTACAGTTGACTTCGTTCTCTACTCACAACCGGGGGTCCCGGGTTCTATTCCCGGGTGACAGAAATAGTTGGGCACGTTTCCTTTCACCTAATGTATCTTTTCACCTAGCAGTTAACAGGTACCCGAGAGTTAGGCAACTGTTATGGGGTTGCATCCTGGGAAGAGTCAGTAGTTCGATCTTGTGGGGGGACCTCGATACAGGCCTGTCGGGGACAGGAAGCCTGTCCCCGACAGGCTTCCTGTCGAATTATTATTGTGTCTCTGTACTTGTATTTGTAGTGGCTCGTCTGTTTCTCATTCGACTATGCTCAACAACTGTATCTTCACGAACGACAGCCTAGTTCCTCTTTATGTCAATGTTTCAATCCGTCAAGTTATCGTCCTACTTCTCTAACTTCTACTATCTCAAAAAGTCTTCGAGTTACACTATATGCACTCAGTGTTAAAAGAACAAATCCACAAGGGCCGTGACGAGGATTCGAACCTCCGTCCGGGAGCATCCCAGACGCTGCCTTAATTGTGTAGTGTAAGCACTCAGTATTATTGCAGCGTAGAGCGCCTGTGGTGTATTTCCTGGGGGCCGCTTGGACCCACTGCATTTAACAAATTTAAGTATGAATATACGTATTCTTGTATTGGCATATACTGTGAAAATTGTCTTGGTGTCATCGTCTGGGGGTAGGATATACTCAGCGTCTGGGGGGGGGGGGCTAAGATGTATTCATCGCCTGTGTGTAAGATGTATTCATCGCCTGTGCGTGAGATGTATTCATCGCTTGTGCGTAAGATGTATTCATCGCTTGTGCGTAAGATGTATTCATCGCCTGTGCGTAGGATGTATTCATCGCCTGTGTGTAAGATGTATTCATCGCCTGTGCGTAAGATGAATTCATCGTCTGTGCGAAAGACGTATTCATCGTCTGTGCATAAGATGTATTCATCGCCTGTGCTTAAGACGTATTCATCGCCTGTGCGTTTGATGTATTCATCGTCTGGGTGCAAGATGAGCATCACAACAGTCGTTCAAGTTGCTGTCATGAGTTACTTTTAGCTTGAAATCTTGAAACAAGATTTCATGCAAAGTAAAGAGGGTCTTGGCGCATTAAGCATATTTAGCTCTCTCTCTTGAAAGAATAAATGTTGCATACAAATGGAAATAGTTTCTAAGACAATATAAATACAAATTCGAGAACGTTAGATTCCTGTACGAGACAGGATACGTTTACTGACGTAGTTAGATTTGGTTAATTTAGGCTAGACTAAGCTAAATTTTGAAAGAAATGTTCGAAGATCATGTCTAAAATGTCCTTGGAAATATGCATACTACTGTACGCTAAATAGTGTGAAAATTAAAAATTAATGAACACATATGACTAAAGGAGAGTGTTAAGAAAGGAGTGTAGAGGAATGACCTGATACTGGTCCAAGATGGAGATTGATATTGTTAAAGTCAACGTATCGCTATGTGTTTTACGACTTTAAGTTGTCGACAACTAATTACAGTATTTATCTCAATTTTCTGAAGGAATACCAACACATTCATCTTATACTGTAATCTCCACGTACTGCATAGGACGTCGATTTCCAGTCCTAGACAACACATACTGTACATATATAGATGCAATAACTTGCTGGTATACACGAGTAGTAATTAAAACTTCCTTATTATTACTCACGCCCATCAACAACGTGCTCACATGTTACTATTATCGTGTAATCATCATTTTTTGCCATCCTTTTTTCAGTGTAGTCTCTGATTAGCAGAGTCTCCCGGGTGGGCGGAGCTAGTTAACCCCTGACACGAACTAGTGCTCATTTTCTAGCGCAAACTAATACATTCTTGTGAAAAATTAAGGCTGCTAACATGTTCTGGTATATAGTGTCATTTATGATTAGCAGGGTAACAGACAGACTAAGAAATAATATTAAAAGGATTAGTTAGTGAATAAGAAGAAAGAATTGGTGGTAGACTTCAATGCTCCCAGGCGGAGGAATATGGCGGTGGGCGGAGCGAGAGAGTAGCTCAGTGGTCATGCTCCTCAGTGTGAGTTGTAACTCGTATCAGTGAGGGTCGGTGTGTCCGGAGGCATGACTTTGAAAAACTAAACTCGGGGTGTATTGTGTTGTGGTGTTGTAAGACCACAGGTCACTAGCCAAATGTATGGTGTCTAACCAAGTGTTCCTCCCTCACAAGATGCAGGTGCGCGCGGGGATACTCCTGTGGGCATTATGCGGCCTAACCTCATCTGCTTATGGTGAGTATTCACCCCCTTCGCCTCTGCTCTAACCTGTTCCTTCACGAATGTTTCTGAGTGCAGGACACAGTTGCAGGACCCATCAACGAAGCAACAATCCACGTGTGTCATTGTATCTTAAGTGTGGATGAAGAACTTTGCATGCTGATGAAGGGGGCACGTTTTTTTTTGTTTACTCATTTTGTGTGTGTATTTTTGCTGTCAAATCTAACCACGTCTATATATATATATTTATATGATCAGTATTATGAAGCTCCACCCCGTACCACGTGCTTAATATATTCAGTGGAGCGTTGTGCTATAAGCTACTACAGCCAAGGTGAAGAGTGTATGTGTGTGATGCTGAGGTTTTGAGTGATCAAGAGTCATATCACTAAGAATGTAATCTTACGCGTTGTAAGCTGCTAGAGTAATCTTATCAGTTTGTAGAGCTCTTGTTTTAATCAGTCTTGCGGCATCTCTTGGTACTGTGTGTTTGTACGTCTGAGAGTATTGTATATGTTATACGTGTAGCGAGTTTGGGCGGTGAAATACCTATTTTATCTTCATTTAACACTTTCACAACATACAAGTGTTTCAGGGCCATTGACTTTTTATGCAGATTTGCGTTAACATTGAGCGCTGCTAATGCATTAAGTTACGGTAGGTCGTGCATGGTAGATAGGCATGTTGTGTGTGCGTGAGACACGTGTGAGTGTATGCGTGTGAGTGTGTGCGTGTGCGTGTGGTGTGTGTGTGTGTGTGTGTGTGTGTGTACATCCTACAGGAGCGAGGGCGCGAGCAGCATTCCTTCAGGATCGCCTCAGGCCAGTCTCCAGCCTTTGTTGGCAGCCTCGCGCGCCCTTACCCATCCTCCGCTCCACGCACCGCACAATCGCTTCTAATTGCTAGTTTATTGGCTCTTGGGTGATGTTGAGGTGTTCATTGTATTCCTATGTATGATTTGAAAGCTGGATAGGCACGTACGAGTGAGCTAACATCTCTGAACTCGTGTTGTTTGAATTTTCCCGGGAGGCGATGCTCAGCCTGCCAGATGGTAGTGAGTAGTACCAACCCTACCGACCCAGAGTTTCCCATGGTTATACAACTCCTCTTATGTTTGGACAATATGATCTTTGTTTTTACGAGTTTTATGTTATTATGTATCTTGGTGGGTAGTGGGAACGATTTCGCTAAATGTAATCTAGTGTGGGTTATATAGGTGGACGGAAATGAGGCCCCATGTTGGCAGCTCTGTGTTCACCCATCTACTTGGGGCAGCTGCTCAGCGGGTTGCTTAGGGTTGCTTTTGTTATAATATGAATTCATATAACAGTTAATGTGGGATTATCTGCAATTTCCTAAATATGTTTTTTCAAAGCAAAATAGTGTAGATTTGATAAATAACATGATTATGTGGTTCTGACAAGGTCATAGATGCTATTTCCAGTCAGTCATTGACCAACAAGGGATGCCTGCACGTCCATCTGCACGCGGCTCGCGCGGTCCTGTTTGAATTTAAAAACATTAGACACGTGCTTTATTGTTCATGCTGCTAGTATGTCTAGCATATAGAATGGACGGGGAGTTAGTTGTTATATCAGTGTATTATTTTCTCTGGTGATTTATGACGTTTGAAGTTGATGCTGGGGTCTGGTTCCCACTTCCGCTAGTGCGGAGGCCCATCTGGTGAATGGGAACCCAGTCACCTCACCCACCTCTAACGAACTTTTTACCGGAAGTAGGGGGGAAATCTGTGTAGGCACCTTACCTCTATTGATTTTACACAAAAACACGATTTCAGTTACCCCAAAGAAGGCATAGTTATTCCTATTGAAAAAGTTCACTCCCATTTCTTTTAATTAAATTCTCGATTTAATTGTCACGTACAGTCAGCATTAGGCCAAGTGTGATATAAAAGATTAGTTTTTTATAGACAATGTAAAGGTGTAACATAAAAATTTCATTATGTACAGAGGGATTTCGCAGAATGGTAGTTTTAATCGTAAATTCTAATAACCAAATAAATGTTTTGTATTTTTCTGCAAGAGGTCATTGCTATGCAATATGTTTAAAGCATTCATGACGTAGCCATAGCTTGGGTAAGATAAGGCCTAGGCTCGATTTTTCACATTAGTAGCCTATGGAGTTATCTTAATTTCTTCATTGGATCTCCAGTATTTCATAATCTATTTTCCTTTTAAATTTAAAGTCCAGGGAACCCTGTCTCCCTTCTTCACTCATCGGGATTCTTATTAAAGGTCATTTTCTATTAGTACTTTGTAAATTTATTCACAAGGCCGACTTGAGAGGAAAAATTCTTTACTTATAATACACGCAAATGAGTAAATTGCCTCAAATTTATACAAAGGTTTCTTTCATTACAATAAAATGCAACTAATCCACAAAAAATATACAGTATACCACTAGCTACAATGGCTTAATTGTACAAAATACGGTTTGTTGTACCACAGAATGTTCGTTTTGTACTGTTGAAATACTAAAGGGCATGCACCAAAAATTTGGACCGAGGCCTAAATAAGCAATCCTTGGCCTAACATAATTTTATTAGGCCTTGTAAGTCTAGATTGTCTCAAAGTAAGGTAACGTTCTACAAAATTAATAATGCTAAACAAGGATTTTTCGAGGTGCTACAATCCATATTTTATACATCCATTCATAGTAGCAATAGGCACTACTACTTTTGGATGACAGGTTAACAAAGTTATGCGTCTTCCATAAATATATCATATGCAGATTTTGAAGTACAAGTGACAATATATATATTAATACACAGTATAATAAATACTGTGTACTGTATGTGTGTATATATATGTTTTTGTATTTATTAAAGTACACAAGAACAAAAGGAATGTTTGGAATAGGCTAGAACTCAAGGCAAAGTTTCCATTTCCATAATGTTTAACTCATTGTCTTAACTTTCTAAACCATTTATTTCTGAGTTTCTGTAGGCCTATGGGAGTTTGCTGTTGGGTCTCAATCGCGGAAGGATTATTAAGACCATAATAATAGCTTATTGATCACCCAGCAAGTGTACTCTAGTCATGAACATAGTTCAGGATTAATGTAAATGTTTAGTGTACATTATCGATTTGGTAGTTTGTTCCATCTAAATTTATCCAATAGAACCTGCTCTGTATGGGCCAGTTTTTTTATCTTTATTTAAAACGATTTTATGAATTCAGTTTAAATATTATATTTCCAATAACCTTTTTTATATCCCATTTATTTAGGTATTTGGTAATATTGTAGGCAAAACTGCCTAAGGTTTGCTGTAGATAAAAGTAAAGTTGTGAGTTTACAATTGTCTAATGATTCTAGGTAATAAAATTATCCAAATAACTTCATTGCATACATCCATATTTGCTTCCTTGAATTTAGGCTTTCTACACATTGTTGTTTCTAGAATGATTCCTTTTGCATTTTGATTTAAAGTGCACCTTTTCAAAGATTAACAGTTTAGGTGTCTAAATAAATTGCATAGCTTAAGCCATATGAAGCTTATTAGTCTAAAAAGCTCGTGTGGCTTTTCACGAGGATTTTAGTCTTTCATTTCATTTCTAATGTGTTATTGACAACCTATTTTTTGTATCTAATGCAAATTTTCGTATATTAATTTGTAAAATATCAAAATTATTACATTATCTTAATGTTACTAGGATCGGCGGTTATAGTTCAACATTAGTGATTTCTTATTTAAAATTTGTCTCATGATAAATGCTTGTAATTAACTACGGTCTAATTCAATTTAATATTTCTGGTTCAATGTCATTTCTGTCAGCTTTTGTTATCAATCTCTCATGTTGAATAGAGCCGAAAGCTTTGTTATGGTCAAGATAATGTCATAATCGGAATCACTATTAAATATTTCAGAACATTATGAATCTTTTATATCTTATTCAAATTTCCTTCTTTACACAATATTCATTTCCTCCCTAACGAAGGCTGATGCAGAATACTGTACCTTATCTGTGCTAGTTTAAAATGATGCTCTATTGTTATAAGTCGGCTAACCTGAACTTGATTTTACTAGCGAAGTTTTCTCCAAACTTTTGTTTGATAACATTTTATCCATTAGGATCAAATCTAGATTTCCATGCAAAACTGATTTCAGGATTTCAGAATTGTATTGTATAGTGACCACTTCACAGTATAACTCACTAAAACAAGGCTAATTTATATGTTTACTTAAATATTCCCATTAGCCCATTTGCAACCAAATACCCAATTGGCCTTTTTACATACAATACATTTTATACGCTTCTGTTCATGGCTTTAGGTCTTTACTAAGTTTATGTAATTTCTGATTTACAGTCGATATCTAGTGTCAACTTTCCTTTCTTTGCCCACATTAAACTATATTTTCCACCTCATCAGTCATTCCATTAATTTTCCACGTCTTTCTTAGAATATACTGTTACTTTAGTATCGTGTGCAGGTCCTGGGCTGGGTGGGATTCACCACTTATGACTGTTCACCATCTGGTTTCTAGATTCTGGTTTTCGATTAACCATACCTTTAAAAAATTACATACACATTTGAATCGTGTATTTTACACAGCATTTTACACATTTGGTTGATTGTGTGTACTCTGGTCTCTTCTCACGGGGTTCAGTATCTGGGATATGTTGGTTGGTCACATCGCAACCTCGGCCACCAGAGGGACGCCTTTTATTACAAGACAGCTCAACACAACAACCTATTCAGTGAAAGAGTTCGTTGTTTGTGTTACGTTACGCAGTTACAGGTAGTCTGGCTTAGACGCAGAATTATTCATATCATGAACATGTCATATTCCTCTGTAAATATTTTTATTTTATTTTTATTCATTTATTATGTACCATATAACCAAAAGTATATAATAACATTTATTAATATAGTATTCCCATTATCCAAATAGTTTGCCACCTAGCATTAATTATTCAGATAATGTTGGCTAGAGTTAGTAGAAGAATTTATAATGGAGCTTCCTAAATAGCTTTCGTATTCACATTGTGTAG